CTACCTGGGAAACTTGGAAAACTCTCTGTACTGTGAGGTAAGAGAAGGTAAATGAGTATCAATGAAGTATGTAGTTTATTCAGATAAGCAAATAATAGAAGTGATTTTACAGCTTTGCAGTCGGTTTTCTTTGGTTTTATTTTGGAGGATCTGAGGTCCGATGCTTTGGTCGTCAGTCTCAAGAAAGCCGTGAGAAGTCCTGTAAGGATCCGTATCTAAAGGATCTGCTGTGGTGGGCTTCTGGCTGCGCCGGGCACTGCGGCCTTGTCTTGTATTAGAAGCTTGGGGCGTGGGGTGTGATGTTTGGGGGTTTGCTAGGGTGTGTTCCTGTCGCGGAGCATTTGAGTACTTGCTTCTCCTCGAAGTACTTGTTGAGAAGAGGGGTTTGAAGGTGGATGACCTTTTTTGTTCACAAGTGGGCAGTAGCTTGGCCACATCTCTCTAGTGGCATGAGAAGGGCGTGAAAACAGGACGCCTGTGGTTGGAAATTCTGTGAAATCTTTTGCAAATGAGTTTTTGGTCTTGGATGAGAATTGCCCAGCCGTTTTACGTCTCCTTTCCAGCTGTGTGAATCGTGTGTGACGGGAGAGGCCTTCGTGCGCTCTCTCCCTTCCCAGCTGGACGTTTGAAGAGGACAGTGCTGCCAGGGCCGTGTGGGCGTCTGGCCTCGCTTCGGGCTTCAGCACATCTGGGAGTTCTCCAGGCCCTGCGTGCTGTGTCTCTAACCGTGCCTTCCCGTGCCGTCGTAACCTGCTTGTCAGAGCACGAGTGTGAAGTTCTGGGGTTCTTCGTGGTTTTTGTTGCTGAGCTTCAGAAGAGTGGCTCTGCTGCATGCCGGTCTCTCCTGAGCTGAGAGTCTGGTGTCTGTGACAGAAAAGAGCAGCTGATGCAGTTTATTTTTGTTGTCATCGCTTGGAGAACCTGCTCGCCTGGTGTGTGCGCGCGATCGTATGTAATGATGTAGTAATAGGGTCTGGTAGGGCTCCGTGTGGACGGGGAGCTCTGCCAGGAGAGCGCTGCCAGGACACGTCAAGCGCTGCACATGACAGTTGCTTCATGGCGGAGCCTCTCCATAAAGCAGGAGTCACACTTGGGGCGTTTCTTGTGGCACGTGGAGTGTGGTGTGCCACTGCAGCCTGGGTCTCTGCTGCTCTCCTAAGCAGCTCCTCGTTCCTTCACTGCTGCTTCTGAGAGACAGGACATGGGGCACGGCTTTGAAGGAGGTTGGCTGTTAAATCGCTGTGTTGTCAGGAAGGGATTCTGTGATCTGTCATACCGCTTAAAAATGAGGTGTGTATGAATACAGTTATAGTGTGCTATTGTAAATAAAACATACAGTTTTTCTGTAGCTTTTCACTTGATCAGACGATGTAAATTGGTAACAATATATTGTAAATCAACACATTTACTCCATAGGCACGTTATGTATTGATGTGTTCCCCTTGCTTAGTTTTCTTTCTAAGAGTTTTCTGTTCCCTTAAAGCAGTTGGCTAAAGGTTTTTAATAAATCAGTGCTGAAAACATACGTGTGCTGCATGCACACATGTGGATCAGTTCTGCAAGAATCCAACCCATGCATGTTAACTTAAAAAAAAAAAGACAAACCAAACCTTACTTTGCAGACTCTAGCTTCATGTCCTGATTTCAGTTTGCATATCACCTGGCTGTTCTCTCAGATATTTTTCATGGGTTACTTTTGCTGCCAGGTACTTTGATGGTTTCTTTTGCCCGTTGAATTTCTGCTGTATGAATTCCTACACAATGAATTGCATTGTCCCTGTATGAGGGTGACGTAGATATAATTAGACTTGTTTTTAAAGAACTCTACATCTTGGTTCACTTAAAACACGGAGTAGATCAGAATATAAGCTTATATAAATATTTAAGAAAAATAATCTTATCTGAGAAGAGGCATTTAAAAATGCTTTCAAAGAGCTCCTGAACTTGGTATCTAGAAAAGCTTTTGGATGCTGGAGATGAGTGAAAAAGTATGGAATTTCACTTCAGTTTAATTTTAGTAAGATGATAAATGTTTACTGAAGTAATAGCAGACTGCCTATGAAAGGACTGGTTCAGATTCTTCCTGAACGCTAGAATTCCTTATAATTGGTCTTTAATGAGTGGGAAAAGCTTCACTTAAAGGTTAAATCCAGAGGTGAGTTGGATGAACTCAGTTGGCGCAGGTCGCGGGGGCAGAGGGAGCTGGCAGCGGGCGAAGGGCCCTCTCCATGGGGCAGGTGCTGGCGTCTCAGGCAGGGGTGGGCCGGTTGTGGAAGGCAGGTAATGCAGCACCGAATCCGCAAGCTGATGGCTGGGGGAGGAGGAGGGGGGAGAACATATTTGTAAGCCGTTGCAGTAACGCTAACGATGGGATTGGAGGGGCCTTTGGGGACCCTCGATCCCAGCCCGTTCTGTCGTTGTACCTTGTAGGACATGCAGCTTGCAAACCGTCCTGACCTGCTCCGTGGTGACAAGTGGTGACACGCGCCTTGCACCGAACAGAGATCTCCTCCCGCCCAGCGTAGGGGCCTTACTCGCTCTAGGCTTTTAAAACTACCGCAGGCGTTAGTATTGTGGCCTTACAGAGAAGCGATGTAGAGGTTGACGCTTGCTGGCGCATTGCTGGTGAGTCCTGCGAGTAGGTGTTCGGGCCAGCGCTGCCCGGCGAGGTGCTTCCCTTTCACACAGCTCACCTCACGCTGCAGGTCCGCACCGCGCCGACACCCAGAAGTGTCTGGGGTAGCCGTGCTGTCCTATAGCACAAGTGAAAACCAAATACGGAGGGTAATTGAATTATGTAATATGTGGGGCTGCACCTCACGTATTCAAAAAGAAACTGAAAGCGGGAGGAACAGACACATGCTGTTGGGACTTTCTTTCCGCCGTAGGTGCTCACGCAGCCTCTCACGGTGCGGAGAGGCCGAGGGGCGCAGCCCCGGGCGGTGTGTGATGCCCGCCTGGGGAAATGTAGTTGTGAAGGAGCGGGGCTGGGGGTCAGAACATGTGCTCATGAAACAGGAGATAGAGAAGTAAAGACTGTCCTGAGTTATGTCTGAAAGCTGGGGGATCGTTTAAAATAGCCTCAAAAAAGCAGCTTTTTTGGACCGTAAGTACCCCTAGAAACTGATTCACCTCAGTGTAACAATTTTCTCATGAATGCAAAAAACTGTTATAAAATTTTAACTTTTAAAATGTTACCATCTTGATGAGGAAACTCCAAAGAGATATTAGTGAATTATCTTTGGTACGCTGTTTTCATTTATTTATTTCAAGGATCACCTCTGGTAGATTCTAGAGGAAAACAACTATGATGAGGCTGAAGGGCCGCACCACTTTTTCTTAATTCTCTAAATTCAGTAAAAGAAATTACTGTGTTTTCATTTAGCCCAGTAGGATTAGGTCTTATGAATATGCCAAATTATTGTATTGAAGAGATACTTGCTGTGAAAAGAGTGGTTTAAAATGGAATAAAATACCAAGAAAGAAAAAGTGAAAGGTAGTATGTTACACTCACTTGAAAATAAATTAAGCAAGTTTGTCTTCACTGCCTTATTCCAATTTCCAAATGCAGATTAAAATCAAATTTATAAAGACTGTGTGCTGGTTTTGGCTGGAATAGAGTTAATATTCTTCAGAGTAGCCAAGCCAGTATGGGGCTGTGTTCTGGATCTGTGCTGAAACAGTATTGATGTTTTCCTTGCTGCCGAGCAACTCGCCCAGAGCCAAGGGCTCTTCTGCCTTGGGGGCGCTGGGGGTGCACAGGGGTTTGGGGGGACACAGCCAGGACAGCTGACCCCACCTGCCCCAAGGGGTGTCCCAGACCCTGTGGCATCCTGCTCAGCACGTGGAGCTGGGGAAGGGAGGAGGAAGGGGGGGGTTTGGAGTCACGGTGTTTGTGTCCCCAGGTCAGCGTTGCGCGTGACGGAGCCCGGCTGTCCTGGGGACACAGCACCCGCCTGCCCGCGGGAGGGGCTGAAGGGATCCCTCACTTTGCTTTGCTTGTGTGCACGGCTCTTGCTTTACCTATTAAACTGTCTTTATCTCAACCCACAGATTTTCTCACTTTTACTCTTCTGCTTCTCTTCCCCCATCCCACCGGGAGGGGTGAGCAAGCGGCTGAGCCATGCTTGGTGGCTGGCCGGGGTTAAACCACGACAATCCTTTTTGGTGCCCAGCGTGGGGCTCGAAGGGTTCGAGATAATGACAGATTTGATTGGAACGTGCTAGATCGAATTTATAGCTGTTACAGCTGTTTAGCTATTAATTGGCAGGCTCCTGTGCTTGCCATGGGCCTTGCTTGCTGTACTGTATATTAGAGTCTGGTGCTCATTAGTGGCTGCTTTTCACTTTCACTGCTTGCTTGCTGCTTATCGTCTGGCTGTGCCGTGCCTGGGCACATTCTGATAACGGCAGCGGCCCTGGGCCTGGGCCGGGGGGTGCCCAGAGCGTCGCCGTGTTCTCTGCTGCTGCGCTGGGCAGGCTGGAGCTCCGGTGGGAGCTGGAGTCGCAGGGCCCGTGACCTGTGGATGAGTCCAGGCGGGAGCACGACCCCCGAGGGGTCTGTGGCCGTGGATAAGGCCATGCCAGAGCAGGTGCATCCCAAAGCCTCTGTGCCTGTGGCCGTCTGTGCCTCTGAAGGGCTTGTGGCCCGAGGATGAGTCCGCGCTGCAGCAGGTACACCTCGGAGCATCGGCAGCTGTGCTCCAGGTTGTGCTGGAGCATCTCAAAAGCGTGGGGCCGTGGGTAAATCCGTGCCGCAGCAGGTACCTCCCTGGAGAGACTGTGGCTCACGGAAAAGGCTCCGCTGGGAGCAGGTCCAGCCTGTGGGACTGCGGGCTGTGGGCGCGTCCGAGCCGCAGCAGGGGCAAGGGCAGGAGTTCGTGGCAGTGTTAAACCCGAAGGTCTGGTCCAGAGAGACCAGGGCTGGAGATCATAATGGAAATACCTTTAAATGGTTGTAACTCGGGATTTGATTTGCATGTTAGGGGAATTCCTGCAGCAGAAACCTCGTATGGAACCCTTGGCCAGTTTGCGTGCCATCCCCGCACAGGGGCCTTGCTAGTCTTCTCTGTAGCCTTCCAGTTTCAGTAGATGTGCTCACTTCAGCAACACATCTACTAAAATAGGAACGATACAGCGATTATGTCTTTTTTGAGAAGAGTATGTCTTTTCTGCCTATTAATTTTATAAATTATATAATCTCATTTGGAAGGAATGGGGGGACTTGTAATGCATTTTGTGTTACCTGCTTTGACCAAATGGTGCTGATAAAAGGTTTAAAAGAAAAATGAACATGAAATTACATGCTTCCTCTCTCTTAATTGAAGTAGCACAAGGTATGGAAGAGATCCTGTATCACAAATAGAGTCTCCCTTGGTGCTGTCTATAGACAAGAGAGCTGCTACTTTAATACGTATTTCAGAAAAAGCATCTTCTCTGACCTGTTCTACTTTGTTACAGACCAGACCAAGCTTCTTAAAGGTCATTTGACCACACTGATTTCAGTGGGAAGTAATCTGTTCTAAAATCTGTGTCCTGGTCTGTGTGTAGGTCCCTTGGTTTCATTTGCATATAGCTTTATGAATTCTTCCCTTCCTGAACATGTATTTCTACTAAGCCCCACGCATCTGCCATTTTCTAAACTGACAAGGAAGCTATTCTGACACCTTCAGTTTTAACAAAACCAATCTAACAAGTTTTGTAATGAATTAGCTTTCCAGAGTTGGAGAAGACAAGTCTGTTCAAATGAAGTGCCAGGTTATTTGCAAGTTATGTGCGTGATTTAATAAAAATGAAATTTACTGCTAAAACTCCTCATATAAAATGTAAATGTAAAAATCCGAATGCTCGGAATTCTTTGTTTTGAGTAGCAGAGCATTCTTTTTTTCTTTTTTATTTAAGCAAGCAGTTAATATTAGGATGCCTGCAAGATTATATTCTTAGTCACAGTAGATATTTGACAGCTACTTTCCAACCAGAGCGACTGGTTTGACAAATGAGCTTGGACCTATTTTATCACTTTAAAGATTCTTCTTTAGAGACTCTTTTAACACGTTAAAGGTTGGAACATCTGCTATTTTATTAAGTAACAGTTAGGAGGTTGGAATATTGCTAATAGTCCACTCGATTTTGTGACCGAGTTTGTTCCATCTTGCAGATCAAAACTATATGGTTAAGTGGTGCAGCATACCAGTGGGGAGGGAGGAAGTGACTTGTGTTTCTATTCCTGGCTGACCCCAGCCTATAAACCGAGGAAGAGCTTTAAAGGAAATGCAGCATTTAGCTCTTTGAATCTTTCCAAGCATTCGTAAGTGCTACCAACGCTGCCTTCCTGTATGCAGCGTTTCAAGGCATGGATGTCTTAAACTGCCGTCCTCATTTAAAAATGAAGCAGAACACATACCTGGCAAGGGAAGCCCTAAAACTTCCTGGGAAGAGATGGCAAAACTGCAATTCCAGATTTTATTCAAAACCTCCTATTTCAACAATCACAAAGGTGTTTATTTCCTAAACTGCTACTGCTGTTGGCTTGAGGGGGATGCATATTCTGTTGGCCCATTCTTTGTTTAAGAGCAAACTTGGGCTGCTTGTTTGGATCAGGGAGTCTCTTTCTAGGTTCTGTATTAAAAAAGGGAAATGAATGCAACAAAGCTTCTTGCTCGCTCCTGTTTTTCCTACTTGAAGCTGTTTGTAATGGTTCTGCTTTTGTGCAGATGGCATAACTCCTTGTTCGAGCATTGGAAGTTGAAAATAATGTCTCTGAAAACATGGCCTGAACATTATGGGGTGTGGTAGAAGCCACTGTCACAGGGCAGCATTTCTTCTGCAGAATGGGGACAGCTTTTTGGATCTGGTTGTGTATTCAAAATATCTGTATTAAAACCCCTCGAGGATGCAAAAGGTGGTTGGGTGCCACATACGACTACTTGTGACTTTGGGGTATCCTTTCTAAACACAAATATTGTGCTTACTAAATGCTGCCTGTCGGTTGGGTGCTAATTGTAAGGTAGATTTTCTTTCCAGATTGTGTTTAAAATCTGGTGGTTCAGCAACGATGATTCACCATCAAATTGTAAGAAACCCCATAACTAAACAGTGAACTATGTCGGGATATTTATGGAACTGGGAGGCAAACAGCCTTCCACAGAGTGTGGAGGGGTCCACAGGCACACGGATCGCTTGGTATGTCGGGGAAGTTTCTGTCCGGACGGATGCAGCCGCCTTACCCCAGTGTTACGTCACCAGCTGCATCACTCCATGCTGGAGGTGGCATGGCCGCGCTTGGTGCCACTTGCTCGAGGTGTCCTGAAGGCCTGTGTGTGGTGCAGCGAGGAGAGGTGCTGCTCTCTAGTGATGCCGTGAGCTGGCTAAAGAGGGTCCTGGTGCGAGGGCTACCTTGAGGGAGTTGTCACGAGGCTGCGGAGTTCGGCACTGCTGGTGGAGAGAGTGAGCCCAGTCCAGCCTGCAGACAGTTGCAAAAGAGGGAACTACGTGTGAATGGGGCAATTGGCTTAAAAAACAACGGGCCCCCCCTCAAAAGCCAAAACCTAAAGAGGTAGCACCACCACTGAGAAACCCGTACAGAGCTCGGAGACTGGCTAACAGAACTAAATACCAGAAATGTATCACTTTGTGGTGCACTGACAGCTCTAAGTAGCTCGATTTAATTAAAAAAATAAAAAATAAAAAATTAAATCACCATTTTAAAACAGGGAAAATCACAAACATGGTGAACAAAAATCCCATAAGACATGTGATTTCAACTCTAAATAGTAAATTGAGAGGGATTAAACCCAGGAATTTGTGAAGTGCCTTGTGAAAGGTGCTCAGGGTGGGGGGTGGAGGAGGGACATGGGGCACAGGGGGGCTCCCAGTGTCACTCCCATTAAAAATGGGGCTCTGCGGGCCCTGGAGCGCTGTGAGTGAGTCAGTCTGACTTCTGCCCTTGGCAAGGTGGTAGATTGTAAAGCCGTAAGGTCACTGGGCCCGGGAGTCTCTTGGGAAAGAGCTGTCCTTGCTCCTGGAAGGAAAACACCGCCTCATCCGACGTCCTGGGTTTCTGTGAGGCTGTCAGTGAGCCTGTGGACAGGGGAAATCCAATTGACCTGAATATATTTGAATATTTATTTATTTCCTTTTAAGTCTTTGACATGCTTCCTTGCCAGAGGCCATTTAAATAGAAAGAAACCAACAAAAAAGCCCAAGTTGTCATGGAACTGGAAGAGTGGCTCTTTTGTGGGCTTGAGAGCTGGTTAGAGAATAGGAAGCGAAGGGGAGGATTTAGCGGTTGCTTTTCAGGAGGAGAAGTCAACTGCCTGGTTCCCTGCGGGTCAGTGCCGAGACAGGGCCTGAAAAGGGAGCGTGCGAGGAGGTTTCTGGGTTAGCTGATACGAAGCTATTTTGGGTAGCTGAGTGCAGGGTAGAAAGCTCTCCGCAAGCGCAGCGAGCCGGCGGGGAGCCTCCGTCTAGAGAGTGTAAGGTTCCGTGTCTAGGGAATATCATCTATATGCTGCACGTACAGCTCAGAGCTGGCAGCTGGGACTCGGGAAGGGGTTCGGGGCTGTCACTGATGGTTTCATGAAATCCTTAGCTCAGTCTGCAACAGCAGCCCAAGAGGTAAACGGGGGGTTTTATTACCAAGAAGGGTGAAGGGAATGGCGCTGGTTGTGCGTTGTGAGCCTTGGTGCGCCCGCGTCCCCAGGGCCGTGCTCGTCCGTTCCAGGCTGCCTGTTGGGGAGCGGGGGTGAGGGGTGGATGAGTTTTTCGTTTAGAACCAGAATATTTTTGTTAGAAGCATTTGTCTCCAATGCTTAAGAATTCGTCCCCAAAAGTCAACAAGCTAAACAGACAAAATGGAGGGGAAAAGTGTCAGCAAAGAGAATGCAGCGTATGACGGAACTAGTGCGATCTGCTGTGGTTGTAGTGATGTCTTCCTGCACAGTGTTATGGGGTTTTTTCCCTCGTCATTAATAGTGGTATATTCACGTGTGAATGTGTTCCCTCCACCCTATGTGTTAAATTTCATATTTCATTTTATCTTTAAAATTGTGAATAAATCTAGGTAACAGGCAGCAGGCTAGGGAAATGCTTGAAAGCTATCCTTCACTTGTTCCACACAGTAGTCAGTTCCAAAGACCTCTAGATTAAAATCTTCTATTAGAAAGATAGGTTACTCTGTCATACATGTTATTGTCAGTAGTTTTCCCTAGCTGTTCTGTCGTGTCCCCCCCCACGCACACACTTGAGGTTGCTGTAGCGGCGCTGCCGCAGACACAGCACCAAAAGCAGTCAGACCCCCAGCTTTGCAAAAATCGCAGTTCTTTCCACTTACATTGCTGCTTTCTCTCCAACTTAACTGCAATGCTTGTATAGTAATAGAATAAATATAAATGTAATAGAATTAATACTCATTTTTACAAATCTAAATGTAATACTTCGAGGTGTTTTCTACAAATACAGCATATATTGTCATCCAGTAAAACTTAGAAATCGGCAGTGTTTTAGCCATTCCAGTAATTGATCTGTATTTATTTTCTAATACCAAAGGATAGAACTCGGTGCTTAGGCATGATTATATTTGTTCCTTTGTTAGCAGTGCTTTCTGGTACTTTCCTAGTTTTGAAGATGCGTTAAACCTGGGGCTTCTGCGAGGTGAGAAAATTGGCTCTTGGGAAGGAGCTTGTACTCATTTCAGTTGTGTGTGGTTGGAAAAGGGCTCGGTTGGGGTCTGGAGGGGCTGTCGGGCAGGTCGGCAGCAGCCTGTTGCCATGGGATCCTGACTCGTCCTTCCCTTCTGGCGCTGATGGAGAGGATGGCCGGGTCCCTCTGCCCACGGCTCCTCGCGTGCAGTCCCTTGCGTTGCTTCGGTACGTTTCCCGTGATGACGAATCTGTAACAGTTTTCCCAGAACTGTAATTTTAGTGAGTAAAGCCGTTCTTGATTTGGAAGCAGGGAATGGCATTGCAAATTCTTGATGTATTTCTTCCCTGAGGGTTTTTCCTAATTCTTTCTAAGTGGAAAGAGTCATCATGCAGATACTGCAAAGTATTAATTGCGTGGATTTACCTTTACACAACATGTGAAAAGTTAAGAATAATACAAACAAGCCGATG